TAATAATTCAAATTTTCTTGATTGTGCGTATCAACCTTTAACTCCTGCACACTGGCTTATAAACTGTGCAGCGTTTAATTTTTCTCCAAACTCCAAAGTTCCTTCACAAAACTGATTACCACAAAATAAATGTCATTTTCACAGATTCAATTTATGCACAGGGAATAAATTATAAACCCTGGATTACAGGCTAACCTGCTACTGAATCATTTTACATCCATTTCCATCCAGTCTGATGGAGAAGCAATCACAGCAAAGGCAGTTGGGTTTGGAATTTATTAGGTTTTTTAATATACTATTATTATCACAAGCTGGTGTGAGGTGGAATTATTTTGGGCTCCTAATAAACCTGGTCTCGTAAACACAGTCACGTTTGGAGGAGAAAAGGAATTCCTGTCTGTTGTCAACACCTGTTCTGCTCTGACCTTCAAAAAACGACTTTATTTTTCCAGGGTTTTCACTGAACTGCACTGATTGAAGGACAGGGATTATAAACTGGATTCATTTATTTTGCTCTACGTCTACGTTTATCCTCCTCTTGGTCTCAAAGCCACAGAAAATAATTTTTAAAAATCCTGTCTATCTACAAACACGGATGTTCTGACCTGTCCAAAAACTCCAACACTGAACCTACTGCTGCATTTATATGTCATCTCACCTGCAGCTGCTTCTCTCAATCATCTCTACACCTGTACTGACAACCACACACATGCACACGCACAGACCGAATCTAAAAAAATAGACCACCTGAAAAAAGAACGTCCATGTCGTGAGCTATGAATTATGGGACAAAGTTTATGTTTCAGTCCTCATTTTTCCAGGCTTTTATTATGTAAATATGTATGTCCATTTCAGGCGACACTGGTCAAATACTAGTTGCTAAGCACTGCATCCACTAGGGGGCAGTGCTCCACTTGTTCAGTGCATTCCGAAATGAACAAAATTTGCGTCATTTTTCAATCAAATGGCCGTGTGATGCGTTGGTGGTTTCTTTGTCTTCATCTTCTTCTTTGTTTCTCTCTGGTCGCACCTGGTCGACCTATACTGCGCAACACTGCCCCCTAGCTTTTCTGTGATACTGCGATGTTTCATGTGCTAGGCCATGCATTCAGAAGTGCTTTAATTAAAACATTTGAATTCAAATGAGACCTCGTTGCTCCTGCCCCAGCACCGTGAGCCATCGTCAGGCGTCTCACCTTTATTAAGACGCCAGCTCTACTTTTCCACTCATTTATCAGACCCTCTTTGGTGCAGAGTTAGTGGACCGCTGATCCCGCGGGTCACAAGGTCCTGCTCCGAAGGTGAGGCACTGTCATCGGGCCCATGGCCACGCTACTTAACCCCTGATTGGCTAACTCATATCCCAGGTGTGGAGCAGGGTTATATGTGCTGTGTCCGTCACGGTGCTCAGGGTTTCCTCCTCTGAAACAAAGTGTGGAGCCCGTCCGAGGCAGGAGGTCCAGTTAGGCCACGGTAGGAGGTGTTTGATGAGCAGGAGGAGGGAGAGGAGGGTGGAGGGAGGGGTCAGTAGAGGAGTCCAGGAGTTCATGTTCATTACCAGCTCCTTTTGTGACCTCCTGCAGCTCCACGTCGCCCCTGTCTGCACTAGTTCTGCGAGAAGGAGAAACATCCCACGGAGTTGTGTTTTCAAAAGTTAAATATGAACTAATTAAATTAAAGCCATTTCCTGGTCTCAGTCTTATTATTAATACACTAAATACATTCAGCCGAGTGTATTTTTAAATGTATATTTTTTTTTATGTCTGTGCAATATAAAATACCATAAAACTCCTGATCATAGATCGTACAAACCATTAAGCTTTAAAGGAAGTCGTAAAAGTACTGCACTGCAGTCGGGAGAAAAATGGAGGGATTCTTTCTATTGTTTGATTTATTGTCTGTCAGAGGAAGGTGACGGCGACTGTTCCTGCTGGGATCAGGACTTTATCACTGCAAATACAAAAGTTTTTGGGATTAAATATGTTTTAATAAAGAGTTCTTTATGGATTCTTCAGCTGAGTTAAAAAAAACAAAACACAATATTCTACAACAAACAAATAAAATGTTAATACAGCAGGCACGCCGGCCGATCTACTTGATTTGAGGACCTCGATTTAATATTGTGATGGTGAAAAACATCATTTAACTGCAACTGAGTGAAAGGGAATTCTTCTGTTAAAAAGCATCGACATTGTTAACACCTTATGTTAGAGCTGACTGTTTCCTGTTCCTGTTTCCTGTCGGTGTAATCAGATCACACTGCCCTGCGTCTAAGTCATCAGTCTCACTGGCGTCACCTGGTGCCCTGCGTATATATACCTCTGTCCCTCACTCTGTTCTGGTGAGATCAGTGTTTGTCTGTTCTGGTTGATGTGTGTGTGGAGTCTGTTTTCATCAAATGATTAATTGACATTAATCAACAGAAATATGAGCATTTGTTCTTGGTCTTCTACAAGTAACTGTTGGTAAATATTTATGTTTCACAACCATGTTAATTAGTGACTAATCAGAATGATGGAGTTATTGATATGGAAAAATGTTAAGGAAAACAGGCTGAATTATAATTCCACGTTTAGCTTCATACGTCTGGTGTTTGAAGCTAAGACGGTGTTTTGACCTTGAGGTTCACTGAAAGGAAAACTGTTTCCCACATTGTGTGTAAATGACGTGTGTATTTATTGCACTGTGTATTTTCTCACAAAAAAATCAAAAATATCCATCGTGACTTGACACATTCACATCTCCATGTTAAGTTTCCTTTGTGTTTCCCACATATTTACGATTCTCACACCCAAACCTGACTCCTTCCTCCTCCACCTCCGACGAGAGGCCACATCCTAAAATTTGACTTCCTTCTATCCCATGATTCTCCCTGACAGCTGAAGCTCCAATACCTTGACACTGGGATTTATGGAGCGCTCAGGCTGAACAGCAGACCACGGGAAGAGAGTCCACCAGCTGGGACGCCACTGAGGTCCAAACAATGAACTTTTCTACAGCAGCTCAGTGAAGGATAACACTTTTTTTTTTTTTTTCCAAATTTGATTCATCGCCCAGCTATGATTATGTTTGACTTGCCCGCATCAGTTGCAGCATTTCATTTTGTCCTCCATTGTGCAGAGATGATTTGTTTTGACTCGTGTGCCGACGCTGTGAGGCAGAATCTATTATCCCAGCTGTCAAAAAGTCAGCCTTGTTTCCTAACACATTCACAGACACACACTCTCCAAATCCTTAATCTGATGGAATCAACACCTGTAACCATGGCGACACAATCAGACGCACACTAACATTTCAATTGTCTTGATAACTTATTCTAAACGTGTCATTTCCACCTTCGACAAGTGAGCAACTCATTATTAAAACAGTCATTTTACAGGAGCTGCATTCAGAGCAGAAACGCCGTCGTTCTTCAGGCGAAGATAAATCACAGGCAGCTGTAATAATTAATAATCAAGAACCTGCGGAGCACGGCTCTGTAAACACTTCACACTCAGACTTGAGGTCTGTTCACCGCAACAGCAGGTTTAGGACGACATTATGTAACTCTGAATTGATTTCCAAAAAATACTGGAAAAACAGCTCCATTCAAAGATGAGATTTTTAGGATAAAAAAAAGTACAAACTTGACTCTGTACTTGACTGGATTCACCAGAGATCCCACTCTGTACTTGACTGGATTCACCAGAGTCTGAAAATAATACAATTCATAGTAACATTTTTTTCAGAATTTGTTGTAGGATTTCTTTCTTCTTTGTCACGCAGCGCCGTACACGGAAGAAAACTTTATTTACATTTGTCAGTCTGGTGCCATACATGGGATTGTGCGACATTCCCTTTCTTCCAGTTGTTTTCTTTTTTTGGGGGGGGGGGATTTTTGCCCTTCATTATGGCTCCCAGGCGTTTTTGGCTCTTCTGATATTTTTATGTCCTAGATTATGATGTCACCGCTGTGTTAGCGAAGTATATATCGGAACGGTATCCCGGTGTAAGTCGAGGACCGTCTGTCCTTTGCAGTGTTACAAATGTTACAAATTAACATAACATGTATAGGATCACCTAACAATTACAATTGCGATTAAAATAACCAATGCTGAAAGACTAAATGTGTAACTAAGCCTCTCTGTAACGCTGTAACAACAACAGAGTAACTGACAATTGACAGGAGTGAATCTCAGCCTTTCACAACAGTGTAATCCTAGCTGAGCTGAAGGTGGAGCAGGGGACGGGCCGTGTATCAACGATGACGATGATGGTGATACATTTTACTCTCATGAAGCCTTTACTGTTACTGTTTACCACCATAGACTGATAAGAATCAGTTACATTTTGATATATTAGGAAACAGGAAAAAAGAATCTGTTAATAATTACTGCTTGACTCATGTTTAATTTCCGGTGTTTGTCCTTTAAGTGTCTTGTGATTCGTTTTGTGAAGCTGTTGCTATAAACAAAATCAAATTCTACTCCACGGCCAGGTTTCCAGGCCGGGAGTTTTTATGTCAGAGGAATAAAAAGACTATACGTCACATTAGTGACAGCCTTTTATCTCTCTCAATAAACTGACGTGAATGACTCACGGCTCTATTTATAGCTAGCACATATATTTTTGACTCTGCACATACTAATCCGTCTATCCTGGGCCGCTTAAAACTAGTAACGATTGGACGAAAACATCTGAGTTATGTTCCAGGTTGTTTAGTGTGTGACTGTGGACGTGTTGAGTGTGATGTTCAATGGATAACTGACAAGTTAGCTACGGAAATGCTAACACTAACTAGCAACACAATAGATTGAAACCAAAGACAAAATTTTGCCCCCCAAAAAACAATAACCTAACAAAACCTTGGGTGTGGTGTTTGGTAAAGGTTAGCTGTTAGCTGTTGTATGTTTTGCCAACATATTAATACAATGTTGTCCAAGTTGTTGAACAAAAACTGTGCATACAATTCAGAGGAAACTCAGGAGACATTAACTTTATTTGTAACAAAGGTTGCCAGAAATATATATAAGTTATATATAAGTTACCCAAAATGTATGCTAATATCGAGCAAAAAAAAGTTGCTGATGTACTCAATGCCAAGAAGTACAAAATTTAGCAGTAGAAATAGCAAAAATTATAACATCTTGGAAGGATGGGTACAATCGATCATGGCTAATCTGAGACATAGCTCCAGTTAGTTTTACAAGGTGTTAAAGCTAACCAAGAAATAACTAAAATTAGCCAAAATGTATTCAAACATAAGATCATAAAGTTGCTGATATACTAACAGCAAAAAAAGAGACAATTTAGCGATGCAAACAATTTTGGCAGGATAGATAATAAAAAAAATCGTAGCTAAAATGAGACATAGCTTTTATAATGTAAAGTCCAAGAAAATGTGTTTTGTTCTCATTTAGCAATTCAGGTCGATTTCTTTACCTCGGCTAAATTTCAAGATGTTTATGACTTTATGCTACGTTTGGCTAACATTCCGTAATTATTAGCTAAGGTTTTGCTGCTGCATTTTAGCTTTAGCATTAGCTGGATCGTAGAGACTCAAAAAACCCCTTCAATAAAGTTCAGACAACAACACAAATTAGCAACAGGTTCAGCCTGGAGTGTCATGACCACAGAGATAATACACTGAATTGAAGGTTAGCAGATTTCTGGTCTTCGTATTTCATCTCAAGGGTTCGACAGGACAATGATCTTTGGCCATTTGTGCAGATACAGATATTTAAAGCATCTGCCATGAAACCTGAGGTTCAGGCCTTAATGTAGATATTTATTTCCTTCACAAAGTCAGAGGGTTGTAACGGGGCCATTGAAAAAAAACAAAAATCGATGCTGGTTGCAGCATGGCAGCCAAAGTATTGGGTAGAGTTTCACATTCTATATTTAAGCCTGGTGACTTGTGTCCCTGCTGCTCTATTTAAATGCCACAGACCCTCTGTCAAAACAGAGTAGGGGGTTCGTTACAATATGATGGACCTTTTTGAGACCAGCACTTATCTTTTCCACGATTTGCGCTATTTGGAGGAAGGGGATCATGGAGCGCTACAGCATTTGGAAATGTCTGGAGTTTCTCCTCTGTACCACGGAAACCACAGCCCTCTGTCTCCAGGTCAGGATAATAATAACGACGACAATGTCCCGTCTGAGCCGGGAGGGGAGAGCAGCGGTGAGGAACACGTCCTCGCCCCTCCTGGTCTCGGGGAACACTGCGACGGCCAGTGCCTCATGTGGGCCTGTAAGATCTGCAAGAGGAAGTCGGCGCCAACGGACAGACGGAAGGCGGCCACGCTACGGGAGAGGAGGAGGCTGAAGAAGATCAACGAGGCCTTCGATGCTCTCAAAAGGAAGACAGTGGCCAATCCCAACCAAAGGCTGCCCAAGGTGGAGATCCTACGGAGCGCCATCAGCTACATTGAGAAGCTACAGGAGCTGCTGCAGACGCTGGACGAGCCGGAGGAACGATCACACTCCTCATCCCAAAATTCCAACATCAAAGACCAGAATGTAAGGCCATGCCGGACATTCCAACATTCCCTAAATGTACCTTAGTTTTTTTGACTGGTGCCTTCTCTTGTGTAATTATCTTCTAGCCATGATAGCATGTTTGGCTAACAGTCCTTGGTCATGTAAAGTCTTTACAATCACCCAAAGGATACAAAGGAGGTCCTTGAACTATCTTGAAGCTGGGTTTTCTTCATCAGGACCTGATGAGTCGAAAGTATTTTCTCTGTAACCTGTCAGACATTTGACGTATTGTCGACATACTGATAACATAATCAGTCAGATAAATGTCAACTTAACGACATACTGTTAACATAATCAGTCAGATAAATGTCAACTGAGTGGAGACTTTACTATAGTTTTACTAAAGGTGGGTAAAACCACTCTTTAGCAAATGCTGCTAAATGCTAGCCACTATCTGGCTCAAGTTAGCCCAGTGGTAAAACCTACTGTAGTTGAAGATATCGCAAGACATCAAGTCATCCAAATGGTAGCAAAAAAGTTAATATCAGGACAAAAATATCCAAACATTGGCAAAATGTTCTCAAAAATAAACAAACAAATAAACATATTGTTAGCCAGAACCGCTAATCCTATCAAAACATCCAGGAGGTCAGACTGACCTGAACTGTTAGTTAACTATGAATGGAATTACACTGTTGAAAAAAACAATTAAAAACATACAAACTATATCTAAATATATATAGCCTTTAGGTTTTGTTTTACTAATAATCCTAATCCTAATTTTCTTCAAATCTATCATCTGTCGTAGTTTGCTATAAGGCAGTGGAAGAAGTCCTCTGAACCCTGGCTGACCTCTGCTGACCATTCCACCATCACAACGTCCACAAAAAGAGAAGGTAACGTCACGAGATGCCATCGACCGTAAACACTCGTCCGTCAGACTGTGGTTCAATGTGTTTTTCTTGGCCGTGTTTCAGGACCCAGCGGCTCGTCCTCTGCGTCCTCCAGCCTCCTGCGCCTGTCCTCCATCGTGAACAGCATCAGCAGCGAGGACAAGATCCGCCGCAGCGAAGACGTCTCAGGAAACTGACATGTCCACGTGTACGTGGCGTCTGAAACTGTCTGAAATATTCCTCTGTGCTGTATTTTTACATTTTTATATCAACTGTTTGTAAATGTATTTATTTTCTATTTAAATGTTTGTACATAGCAGAAATTAAATTGAAAATAAAAAGTTATTCGCTACTAAAGTAGTGACAGTTTACGCTGTCCCTTCCCTGCCAACACACGCCCATAAAAACCCCTTCTAAGCTGCACTGACGAGTCTGTGGTCAGACTCCTTCTCTTCTTTTTTTCTGACCGCTCTCCAGCAGATCTGATCCCACAACAGAAACTTGAGTCCAGTGCAAACACACCACTGAGTCTCCTCCTCCTCCTCCTCCTCCTCCAACTCTGCTTCTTTCTGGCGTCACATGTTGTGGACATGAAAAGTTGGGCAACAGGCATGAGTGCAAAGCCCAGTGGGATGGTGAGGTTACATGAGCCGTCGGGGTTTTTGACTTTGTCGAAACAGAGAGGTGTTTACACCAGGGCTGTGGAGACTGAGTGATATGACGCTGATGGTACCAACGTCCACCACCGCTGCTGAGGAAGAACCAGGTGGAGGTGGTGATAAAAATGTGGTTCTTGGACTCACCTTGATGTTGGTCTGGGTCACCTCTCAGACTTAACACTGGGGTCAGAACGGAGCAGAAACCTGGGTCAAAAGGAGCTGAGATTCTTTAACAATTGTCAAAAGTCTCCTGTTAATATCAAGTAAAGTTTCAATCTCAACATTAAAAATAATTATTTTAGCTAAATGTATGCTGAAAAACATCTAAAATGTTCGATTAAAGGTTGGGAGAAAGCCCACAATTAGCCAGAAATGCTAGTTCAAATTAGCTCAAACATAAAAGTGCTCCAGAATAAAATAATTATAATTTTAAGATGATCGCAATTAAAGTTGGTTCATTACAGTTACAAGTAAAAGAAAACAAACTAGATCGAATTTTACAAATATATCTGATTTGTTTAACTTACACCAAAAAAAACTTAAAAATCGAATTTAAAAGACATTTTTTTAAAAATCTCACTCAATCTTTTCCACTATATTAAATATAAATGTCTCTAAGTTGAGTGACGAATGAAAGGTGACATCATCCTCCAAAATACTTTCACCAAAGTACTTTCTCTTACAGGACATTTTATTGATACTGTAGTTGTTAAATTGGAGCCGTTTGTTTATTGTTTACTGCCTGTTTTATTGGAACAATTTTCTCATCACTGTTTACAACTGGCTGTAATGTCGCTGTGAAACATGTCTGCGTTGGATTTGTTTATGTCGTTACTGTGGCTCGGTTTGTGTGTGTGTGTGTGTGTGTGTGTGTGAGTGTGTGTGTGTTTTGTTTTTCTAAATGTTCTGCAGCAGAAAGACAACAATAACTGCGTTATTCACAAGAACAAAATCAAACACACAACACAACACTTCAAAACTGGACTTTTCAGAGCATTTGCTATGGTTGTAACTAAATCAGGACACACACACACAAAACACACACACCCAGACACACACACACACACAGACAGTCTGAGCTCATTAAAAGCACATTATCGTTGTTTGATATCACGTTTCCTCGGGGTTTACCACCAAAATCAGGATGTGTATACACTTACACACACCGCTGTGTTTAGGTTAAAAACTTAAACTACGAGTGTGTGTGTGTTGTATCTGATACATTAGCATAAAAATCCAAACGTTACAATCACATAAATGTTAGCATCTCTTCAAAGGTTGAGATCACAGCCACGAAAACTTCAATAAGTTCTCTTTCAGTTCAAAGGAACCTCCCAGTGGTAAAAAGGTGTGCCACAAGGTCCTGTACTAGGGCCCCCTATTATCTTTCAAAAAGTTTTTTTTTTTTTTTGCCCCTTTTTTGCTGCATAAGAGACAACAACTCTGACCTTCTCTAGTCTGGTCGTGCAGACGTTTTAGTGACGACATCGTATTAATCTCATTAGGAAGTGGAGACAGTTTTGGTGTGCGTGTGTGTGTGTGTGTGTGTGTGTGGCTGATGACAGGCGATCTGTTACAAATAGAAAAGAAGGTCGTGATGAATGCTCTGATTTTATCCAGAGCTTCCTTGAATTATCCTGCCCAGCTCCCTGCCAAACAAATGTTGTTGCCACTCAGCAAGAGGCGAAAAAAAAATGGAAGGGATTTAGGAGCTGACTTGGAATTTTTCGGTGGACCAGGAAAAGAAAAAAAGTCCTTGAAGAAAAATGGAATCAGTCTGTTTTTATCCATCAACTTATACTGTTTCCTTGTCAACGTTTTCCCCTGATGGTGGATCTATTTTATTGTTCTCCTTCAGTAAATTTGAACTGAGTTACTATTTATGAGCAGAAACGATATATTTGTCACGACAAAAGAGAAAAATAAATACATCTGAAGTGTTTAGGTAACTCTAGTACATTTTACATACAAATATAGGTATAAAAACAATATAAATATATGTTTTTAAATCATACATAGAGTATATTTGGCACTATTTCTAGGTAATACATAAAAAATGTAAGAAAATAAAAAAATATAAAAATTGATAAACTCAATCATAAAAACAAACTACTGCTGTTAATTTATTTTATTTTTTTACACAATTAAGTACAAAATCAATATATTCATATACATTTTTTAATTTAAATATTAAAACTTTAATTTAATTTAATTTAATTTAAAATACATTAAAAAGTTAAAAAAATCATAGAAATGGATAAATAACAAAATAGATGAAAAGAAAAATAATAAAAATCCATTCAATTATCAATAACAAATGAATAAATACATAACAAAACATACATATAAACACATACGTGCACCGTAAAAGAAAACAAACAAATCAAACATAAAACAATAAAATAAATAAATAAATACCCTGACATATTGATCGTCTGTAACTGAGAAATGAAAGTGTTTTGAAACGGTGATGTTTTATTTATTTTATTTATTTATTGTCTTTTTCTGCCTCATTTTCTGTCAGACTCTCGGGCACTTTGGAAGAAAAGCGGTTTTCAGGCGTGAGTGGAGGCCGGACATGAGACGTCACCTCCTGCCCTTCACTTAACTCTGTCTCTGACCCCTGACAACAACACAAACTCTGAAGTCCTCGCTCCAGTTCCCAGGGGAACCTGACCCAGGACGGACGGACCCGGCAGAGGTCCACGGTCCGTGCGTCAAAAAAAACAAAAAACTCTGCGCGTAAAATAAAGTCCAGCGTCAATTAGCAGCTCCTGGTCTCTGTGGGTGTGGGGTTTTCTCAGTGGAAGATGGAGATGATGATGTTTTCTTCAGCTGTGACTCGTCCAAACTCTGCAGTTTCTGCTGTTAGGGCTGTTTTCTTAGGTGCTGCGCTGTTCCCATGGTCTGATGAGGACCCAGAGAGGAGGAGGAGGAGGAGGAGAAGGAGGAGAAGGAGGAGGAGGAGGAGAAGGAGGAGAAGGAGGAGGAGGAGGAGAAGGAGGAGGAGGAGGAGAAGGAGGAGGAGGAGGAGAAGGAGGAGAAGGAGGAGAAGGAGGAGAAGGAGGAGGAGGAGGAGGTGAGGGAGCCAAACGTTTTGACACATTGTAAGAAATATCCGCATTGTATCTTTGTGGGCTGTCAACAACGACAACGATCGAAAAATCTGATATCCTAATCTTAATCCTAATAATCCTAATCTCACTTTCCTTTTAATTTCTGAAACCTTGAAAGTTTTTTTTTAATTTACCTCTTTACCTCTTTTGGGTGCTTTACCCAATAATTTCTCCTAATATATTTGTGGTCTAAACGTATTATTGCGTTTGTTTTTGTCATTTCAAATATAAATATTTTTTTACAATAGTATAAGTTATATTTTATGCTATTCTTACAAAACAAAAAAAATAGGTTATTTTTTGTGTTTCTCTGTAAATATCTCTACACATTTGTCTTTACTTTCTGGAAACATCTTAAGCATTTGTCATTTTCATCTAATTTAAAAAACTTTATTTTATTTTTTACAACAGGGATTAGTCTGTGTTTCATTTTGTAATTATTTGAGGGAGTAGGAAAAAACATGAACCTCTCGGAGCAGGCCACATATATACATATATATATCCGTATATTTACATTAAAATAATAGGATCACATCATAGAGAAATGCATATAGTTTCTGAGTCACAGTTTTTCAATCTTGTGTCAGAACAGAAACCTCTGCAGCCTAATGACCATCTGTTGTTTTCTGAACTGAAGCAATCGACTTGTGTCAATAACTTTTAATGGTTAAAATTTGTCCCCTTGGGGGGAGGGGGGGGGGCAGTTTTAATGACTGGCTGAATGAGCACCAAGCCGCCTTGAGCAGCACCTCCACCTTCGGTGACGAGCGGGAGCTGCTCCAGGAGGAGGCCTCAACGCCGAGCTGTGAATCCGCTGGGCTTGAAATGTTACACCTCCCTCTCCGCAGCTGGACTGCATCTGAAACGCTGTTGTCTCCACCGTAACAATCGGCCCTGAGAGTCTTCACCCAAAACATGCTCTACTTTATGTGCACGTCTTCATAGGACACATAGGCCGCGTTAATGATGGCGCCTGGAGACGGGTCTATCAGGTCCAAAATAAAGCACCAAACATTCATGTGTTCATCGTGTTCTTCCAGGACAAAGGCTGCCGTAATGATGAGTGGAAAAGACACCCAGGAGTGCAGATGTGGGAAACTCTGCAGGGCACTTGGGGAGGAGCGGGGGGGCAGTGGTCTGGGATGGGGCAAGGAGGGAGTTGAACTAACCCCGGTCTGCCTTATGGCTCAGCCAATGGGCCATGGTAATTAGATCTGGCCAATGTGGGCCCTGGGCTCTGGCCTGGGGGCATATAAGGGGGGCCCCGGGGCAACAGACCCCTCATATCACTCAGAGGTCTCCTCTCTCACACCCTCTGTCCGTCCTTCCTTCCCTTCATCCTGTGCTGCACCCATCGTTCGGCCGAGCCATGGAGGTCTTCTCGCCGTCCCAGGTCTACTACGACAGAGCGTGCGCTTCATCTCCAGAGTTCAACACCAGCATGGAACTGGCCGGATCAGAGGAGGACGAGCACGTCCGTGTCCCCGGAGCCCCTCACCAGCCGGGACACTGCCTCCAGTGGGCCTGCAAGGCCTGCAAACGCAAGTCCAGCTTCGTGGACCGCAGGAGAGCCGCCACCATGCGCGAGCGGCGGCGGCTCAAGAAGGTCAACAACGCCTTCGAGGCCCTCCGCCGCTGCACCTCGGCCAACCCCAGCCAACGCCTGCCCAAGGTGGAGATCCTGCGCAACGCCATTCAGTACATCGAGAGCCTGCAGGACCTTTTGAGGGAGCAGGTGGAGAACTACTATGGTCTGCCTGGGGAGAGCGGTTCTGAACCAGGAAGTCCACTGTCCAGCTGCTCCGACGGCATGGTAAGACCTCAGGTTCTTGCTCGCTCGCTGCACAGTCTTGTATTGGCTTGTACTCGGAAGGTCAGGTGTTTCAGGCAAGAAGGTTCGACAGGTGCAAAGAACCTGAAACAGGAACCAAACGTTTTAGTTCAACCAGACTTTGAGTTTGAGGACGGACAGGAGATGCAAAGGTTCTGAGTCCTTCATGTCTTTTGTAGACCTTTAGCATAAGGAACTGAACTTTCTGTAGTCCAGTTGGAATGAACTTACAGCAGTCCTGTCTGTTGTCCTGTTGCTAGACTGTTGAAGTCTGAAGTTCTGAGACAGAAATGATTCAAAATTTCAAAAAAGTCTTGTTGGCATTTGGGCCAATAAATAACAACAACTGCACATTTTGGTTGTGTTTGATTGTGATTTGTAAACAACTCGGACATTCTGGTTTCAGTCATCCGTTTAGTTTACGTCTCTGAGACACGGCTCCATCTTGTTTTTTAAAAAAAGTCTTCAACTTTTAGTAAAAAAAAAAGTTCCGACTTGTAAGTGTGTGTAAGGCAGAAAATCGGAGGAATCATAAGAGGATTCATTTTTTCCTTCTTCGTGGACGTCCCTAAACATCTCATTTTGCCCCAGAGGTCGTACAATGGTCAAGACTCCACATGTGTCTCATTGTCACACCTCAGATTGAGTCTGTTTTTCTGATCAAAAGTCTTATAGACGCCTCGTATCACTAAATACCGGACGCCGTAATAACTTTCCCACCAGTGGACATTTTATAGCCCTAATAAACCAAACTAATCCACCGTACTGACGTCTGGCCAGGAAAAAATTAGAAGAAAAAAAAATCTGCATTCCATCCTGACTGCATGTTCTGGAGTCGCCGCTGCCAGGATTTTCTGCAGATTTACTGGGAGAAAGTGTCATCTTGCACAAACTGGTGTTGCTTCCACTGATACAATCGATTCGCAACGGTCAGAAGCCCTGGCCAGGGGTGGAGGGAAGAAAGGGGTCCACACGCTGCCATCCTGGCTTTAAGGTGGATTGTGAAATGAAGAAGGCCATAACAGTGGAATTCAGGATTTATTGGCCTGTCCAGAATGTCATGGAGTGGAGTTTAGGAGTTTTTCCATTTGGTTCTCCATTCTTTGGTGAGAATCTGTTGGATTTTAAGGCTAATGTGTCTTCATTTCTCATGACCTTACAGGCTGGAAGCAACAGTCCACTGTGGCAGCAGATGAACTCCAACTACAGCAACGTCTTCTCTTACACCAAAAACGGTAAGATCCTCCAGAACATGAAGGACATCTGCAGTGACTGGCTTCAAACAGGTTTTGACTCAAACGCTCGCTCTTGTTTTTCTCAGAAACCTTAGGTGATAAATCAGCAGCAGCAGCCGCCGCCGCGGCCGGCGCGTCCAGGCTGGAGTGTCTCTCCCGGATCGTGGAGCGGACCA